CATATCTCAATGTATTTAATACCGGAATATCTAGACACGAGAAAGGAAATGGTTCCTGGGGACAAACTGAAACTGAAGCATCATTACATGCTTCGCTACACTTCACTCATCCTGAAACTTGGACCTTTAATTCATTTATGGTCATTGAGATTCGAAAGCAAACATTCCTAATTCAAAAGTGTAAGGAGGGCACAGATCTTCAAAAATGTATGCAAAACATTGGCACACAACCATCAACTTCTTCAAGCATATCTGCACTCGCGGTAATTTTTTTTCACCAAAGCTTAAAAGCGTTGACTTGACTACATACACTTCTCATTTGTACAGTGATGCTGTGCACAAAGCTGTTGAGACAAGCATGCTAAATGAACCAGACTCTGTTGCAACACAGGTAGAGTACAAGGGTACTCTGTATAGGAAAGGAAACTTTATTTGCCTTAAATGTGAAGACGATTATTCTACTTTGCAAGTTGGACAGCTTGAGCTGATTTTTGTTAAAGATGATGAAGTGACCTTCCTTGTGACTCCCTACTCTGCATCGTATTTGACTATGGATTTTTAAAAAATTATTGCATACCCAAAGTCCTTTAGAGATGAGATTAATTCCCAGATTGTAGGAAGTGGATATGACTCTCTCCTTAAACTAGTCTGTCGAATTGACAATTTAAAAAGCAAAAACTTCCACTAGACCACTTTGTTATATGCCAGAAGAGTCAAAGAAACGGAAATTGGAGTATGGTCGTATAAATTCAGAACCCCAGTTGCCAGTTGGAGAAACGCCAGAATTGCAACAGGGGGGAAAAAAAATAAATTGCTTGAAATGTTTCAAAATAAGGAAAGCAATGTAAAAACAATCTACAGCTTGATGATTGCTACCTACACCTCCCAAAGAAATGACATCCAATCTGGAAAGCAGGGGTGTAAAGAGTACCTGAAGACCATACGTGAGTAAAAGTACAGATTCCTTACTGTAAAAATTACTCCATTACAAGTTACCGATTCAAACCCAACTTGAGTAAAAGTATTAAAGTATCAGATTTTAAAAGTACTTAAGTGTTTTACTCATACTGAATGTAGGCTCAAAGATGCACTAGTCCAACACCAAGACATACAGTATGTCAGTGAAAAACAAGAAACCGTTTATGAGGTTTTATTTCCTAATATAGAAATTAAATTGAACACCTCAATATTTCAACATGGCAGAACAAAACACAGATCAAACAAGTCAGTCTCAGTCAAACTCGTGTTCAAAAAAAAAAAAAAAAAAAATAAAAAAAAAAAAAAAAAAAAGGTCTTTTCAGTACAATGGACAAATCAAATAAAAGTAAAACCAAATATTCAGAGCTCACTTTGATTTGATGTACCTCTCAGTCGCAGAGGGGGGCAATATTTTTATTCAACTTCAACAAAAGCTGGTTCTCAACGTTCTTGGAACTTATTCTAGCTCTTTTTGGACTGAAAATGAGGCCAGCAGTGCTAAAAAGTTGCTTGCAAGCAGCAGATGCAGGTAGGGGAGTGTTGAGCCTTAATGACAACTTCAATAGAGGTGGGAACGTTTTCAGGACACCCATGTCGTCACCAGCACATGTCAGATAGCCATCAAGCACTGCTGGGCCTTGTTGTGCCTGGGATGACTTCAATGGCTTGAAGAAATCCTCTTCCTCTGATGAAGTGGCATCACTTGTAAGCTGAGAGTTCTCCTCCATATTTCCCTTTATGAAGTCAAGACCTACAATACAATACACATTTGGTAATGTTTCTGCAACAATTTAAATTCATTCAAAAGCATTTTTAGTGCTTTTAAAATTATAAAGCTTATATGAACTTACTCAGTTTAAAATATATTATCTCAGCATTCCACTGTTCCAAAAATTAAATGAAAGTGTATAGAATATTGCCAAATCATGTAGAACACACATTATTCCATCTAAATGTTTAAGTTAGTTTTAAAATCAGTTTGCGAAAAAAAAAAAAAAAAACTGTACTAATTAGCATGTCACTGCTCTTCATTTAGTTTTATATGCCTATGTCAACAAACCGAGTTTGAGGATGGCAGCATCAGGCGTCCAATAAGTTTTAAACTTTGGAAGCAGGATTGCAGCCGCAATCAGCTCAGGATCATTGAGCATGTCCCCGAAGCGCTTGTTCACACCTGCAAGGATTGTATCTACCAGGCTCTTGCAGAGTTTCATGGATATCTTGGCTCGTTTTAGTTTGGAAACCATGATGTTGAGTGTTGGTACAAGCCAGCCCATGTGCACATTGGTTTCTCCCTGTAAGATATTAATCGCTTTGGCAACAGGGGCCATAGCTGTGACATATTCCCCAAGGAAGGCCTTTTCTGCAGGAGTGAACCTATAAAAGAAAAACCTTGTTTAAGACCATTTAAAGTAGCTGATTACTGCAAAATATAGATGCTACTCAATCAGGATAGAAATGTTTTATCATAGGATAGTAGAACAATGTATTAATTTGTAATGATTTGCTGCTACTCGCCCGGTTTCCCATTTTTTAATGAATAGTAAAAAAATATCCATCACTTCATCTGACAATGCCATCTTGATGGCATACAAATATTCACTTTTGCTGGTGGAAAAAGGCATAAAGTCTCTGAAAGAAACTTTAAAAGAAAATGCATAGCATCATTACATTTTAACATTACTCACATGGGGATTTTGAATTCCGCACAGAGATTCCGGAAAGCACCATCTC